TTTACATCGTAAAAGTAAACGCCTATAATATGAGAATCCCTGGTTAAAAAATAATATTTAACAATTTAAGGAGCCAATTTAAATATACATTTTTCAGGAGCCAATTCAAGGATCGAAATTTATATTTACCCAAAATTGGGAGCCAATTCAATGGTAGCCTTTGTAGTTGCCGTCTTGCAAACATATATACAATCCATACTAAATTTYACGTTAACAATAACCCATTTTACTCTGTTATTTTTAAAACTAGAGTGAATTGACCTATCATTATCTGTTTATGGTGATATTGTTATCTATAGACCTAAACGTATTTTTATTATTTTTAAGTAAGTTAAAATAATTTTAAAATATACAAAAATTGTACTATTTCAAAAAGGCGGTCGTCATAACTTCAAATTAATTATATCAATAAAACCCTAMGTTGTGCTCTAGATAATAATGAATAATCTTACCTAAAACTAGGACAATTCAATCTAATATTAAAACTAACAGCAGTTACAGCACACTATTGAAACTGATTAACGAAAATTCCCTATGTCGTACGTGTGTAAGACAGAGACAACACAGCAGGTACGATGTCCTCTTAACGGTATAAGTGTGCAACTATTTACACGGTTCTATAGTAAAAATTATTTAAGCCTGTCTGAAATTTTAATTTTATTTATGCTCAGTTCAAACCGAACAAAGAGTAGTGTGTATTTGCAAACAATCATCATATTTTTAAATGATTATAAACTTATATAAACAGAGTTCTGTTATAGTATTTATTGAAAACATTTTAAAATCAGAGTTTGATGAATAATATTATAATACTATTATAATAATTAATCATCATATTTTTAAATGATTATAAACTTATATAAACAGAGTTCTGTTATAGTATTTATTGAAAACATTTTAAAATCAGAGTTTGATGAATAATATTATAATACTATTATAATAATTTTTAAAACGTATTATATTTATACGAATAAGTACCTATAGTTATTTTTTCAGGGGAATAGCATCATAATATTATATTTTATTTAAATTTCTACTAAAAACCCGAAACTACAAACTTAATTTAAATTAATTAGAATAATACAGCCAGCCGTAGATTTTTTTAAATATGCAAAATTTCGAGTTTCAAATTGTTTAAAAAAAATGTTTTGTCTAGATTTTTGGGATATTTTTTATGCAGATGGAATTTGGTTAGTTAATTATATATTAAATTACGCTTAGAGTCAAAGTTATTTAAGCAACAGCTAAGAAACGAAACTGGTTTTGTAAGTTYTTCAATACATTAAAAAACTAATTTCACAAACAGGAATATTATACTGTCTGACTTCTACAATTTATTGCTTTAATCAATATTACTGCGGTTTATAGTCTTGTACGAATGTACGATAAAAAATGTATTTATTTTCGATTTTCTAGTCAATCTCGTATTTTCTAACGTCCAGCAGTGCAAATAAAGAAGTAAAATTACGACGTATCAATCATTTCGACAATTTCATAAAGCCTAAAAATGGCCATCCGAGTTTAAGGTGGGGAATATAATATTTATATTATAACAACTGATATAGCCATATAGTTTGTCTTTTCAACAGTCGATACATTCTACTACTTTTTTTTCAGAATCGTAATCGACGACGATATCAAAAATGACGGGTCCCTTGCACTCGTGACCGCCGGAAAAAATCATCTGTCATATAACGTATCTACGTTTGCAAACGAACATTTCAAACAGGTGGCTTTCGGAAAGTAAGTGTCAACCATTATTCACATTGGTGAAGTGACTCGTCTACAACGTCACAGTGTGTTGCTGTACATGAGTAAAAATATTCGAATACTTTTAAATAGATACTCAAATACGTAATCAAAGTAATCAAAATATCTATGATTAAAATCAAATAGAAAAATATAATATGCATCTTTGACAAAGAAAACGATGCGATATAGTGAATTTTAAAGTTTCACTAATAGCACGGTGTAAAATGATCTATACAAAATTAACCTAAAGCATAAAAGTCGTTTGGGTTCCTCAGTTGCTTTATTATAAGGTTTTAAAAGCTTTTTTTTAGTTTGTTTACTTTTAAAAATACATATCCGTATCTGCACTTGAACACTTTTGTAAGACTAAAGCGAAGCGCGACGATTTTAGATTTAGAATTTTAGAACGTCTCAAAGTTCATAAACCTAATCTATTTAATCATAATTTTTCAGCTATAGTATAGTTCACGATGGACGACGTATCTCCTCGAATATAAATCTCAAGCCGGCGACGATATATACTCTCATCATACGACGCAGGGACGGTGACATCCACAGTCCGGTAAAATCGAAATATTATATATCTAACTGCGATTAACTATATTGTTATTTGGAGGCAAATTATTATCATAATTGTTTCATCATAGCCAAAACATTTATAGGAATCGAAATTGTACGCCACGGACGAGGGAAACTACTTGCACATTTTATGGCAGACACCGCAATACGTGTGTATGATAGTCGCGGACGTGATTTTTATCGCCACGTCGATTGAATTTTCGTTTACCGAAGTAAGTCCACACGTGCAAGTAATAATTCCGCGCCGCTATCCATTAATTGGACGGACGCACGTGCAATACCATAATAATATCATCATAATATAACTATATATAACGATGGTGACGATAACCATACGAAGACGATACGTTTTTTATTGCGTTAATAATGCGAATAATGCACGATCTAAAATGCCCGTGAAAACGAGCGGTTGAAACGAAAATATTATATATTGTGTGCGTCACTTAAAGTTATAATAATAAATAATTATAATTTATTGCTATTCATACAGGCGCCGCCCAGAATTAAATCGTTCATATCGGCCTGTTACTCGATGACACAGGCAGTCGGCAATCTAGTGGTCGTTGTTGTTTCGGCTTTGTCCTTTCGCAAACAAGTGAGAACATAATATTATTCGTGCTTATCGACAATGGTGATTTCATGGTCTAAAACATTAATGCACATACTGTGGTCGTAAAAGTATTTGAGCAGATGTATTTAAATACTTTTGAAAAAAAGTACATGGGCATTAATCTTACGAAGTATCTGTATTTAAAATCAAATACCAATTTTCAAAAACTTATCTCTTTTAGCATATACGTTTTCTTTTCAATTTTTATCCTGTAAAAAAAATTTCTTCTGAATGAATAATGATATATTGAACGATTTATTTTTTTTTTTTTTTGATTTATTACACCCAACAATAAATTTTATTAAAATTCAAGAGGGAAATTAGGCATGTCTTATAGTTACACCAAATGGTACTGTATAAGATATCTATAAAATTAACGAAGAACATGAACATTGGTTCACATATTTTATAAGATATTTGAAAGTATTTTTATTTGTACTCAAATACTTTTTTTCCTAGTATGCATATACATATTTTAAATATTTTCCAAAATACGTATCTATATCTACACTTTAATACTTTTAAAAGTAGCTTTTACAAAACTGACTTACTGTATACAACCATATTATAGTATATCGTATTTCAGGTACATGAATATCTATTTTTCTCCGGACTTATGCTGGCAGACACGTTTCTATTAGCTTATTTGAGTTATAATTACAAGTACAAAGCTTTCAGACAACAGCTAAGTGACGACAACGACAAAAACGACGACAAAACCATAGTGACAAATCAAAGTGAACTTCAACTCGATGAGAAGTGATCATTAGATGCTTCCTTCAATACATACTGTCTGATTGCATGTAAGGGTCAGTTTAATCTAATTACAAATTGCATTATCGATAACTTTGTATCTATTTATTGTTGTAATTGTTATATTTTTTAAATGTATAATTTATTTTCTATTATAGTTTAATAAGAATTTAAATAATATATTTTGTATTGACTAAAGTTGTACAAATTGTCAACATATAAATATTAAACAAACGTTGTTTTCTTAAAATATGTGATGTATTGATTAAATTGTGAATTTAATGTTAATCCGATCTCATGGACCCTCTATTATAATTGTAATGTTTACCAATTAATAATACTCTGGGTACTGGAAAATAATAATTTATGAGTATATATAATTAATAATAATTATTTGTTCAAATAATAATAATTTTATATAACATGTTACAAAATCGTGAATTTGTTAGTATTTGTAACTCAAATAAAATTATAACAAGGCCATAACAGACATCATCCAATTCATCACAACAGCAAA